GACCGGTCCCGGTCTGCGGACCGGCGGTTGGGTACCCCTGCTGTAATGGGTTGAGCCATTTCAATTCAAATAACTTTTGAGTGTTTCACAATTAATTTTGTATGTCTTGAAACTGCTAATACTGTAGTTGGAGCTAGTGTATCCACATGTGTATTAAAAAGCTGTCAAACAAACAATGTACATGTATAGCCACGGTTGAAGTTCTATTCCATGAATGGAAAAACAACTGCTGTTCTGAGTCAACTGTCTGACAAAACCACTCAATAGGTTCACTGAACTGCCAAATGGATTTAGAGGGAACATTTGACCTGAAAGCTGTTTAGCAGGTTTCTCAACCTGATCTTCATCACCTTGCATGTTGTTTGCTGCCTCTGACTGTTGATCTCCTTTCAGGAAGAATCCATCCAATGCCAGTAAGAAAGATGAGGAAACAGACTCTGTACCCATCAAAAAAGCCGACAACCCTTTTCAGTACAAGATGGACTACCCACACATGGGAATCTGCCTGATTATCAACAATAAGAACTTCGACCGCAGTACAAGTAAATACGCCCATTAAACCTGTCTGGTGGGCTAATGAATTAGTCCACGGCTGTCTAATTCAGTTCATCGCTACTTTGACAAATGCTTTGTGAATTCATGGTTCAACGTTTATTACTTCCCCGAACTGTCAGTCAGGCCTGCATTTCGACATCGGTATGGCAAGTGTGAAGTAGGGAAAAGCACAGAGGAAATTGTCACATATTTTTTTTCACAGTGATTCAACAGCGTTCTGCGTACAGTATGTCGTTTCAGTTGATGGAGATGTGTGTAGACATTACAGTTGGATGGGGTTACATCAGGTGTTTCTATTTTTTTTTTTTCTCACATGGTCTTCATTGTAGATTTTCACTTTCTGCTGGTGGATTTGGAATGCATCTGCATGATAAATGGTGGGCGTTCACTGTACCGTTCAAAAAGCCAGTATTGATTGCTTTTAGCACTTCAATGATCACATATAAGTAGAATGTCACGGACAAGGTGGAGTTCTACACTAAGGCCAAACTAAAGTGAAAAACAAAAAGATGGGTGGTGCCTTTATTTATAGATATCCAAATCTTCAGCCAAATCCATTTCTTTCTATTCCCCTTTCTTAAGTCCTTCACTTAAAAAAATGGACTGTAATTCTCTTTTTGTATCTTCCCAGGGATGAGCACTCGTAATGGGACGGATGTTGATGCTGCTTTTGCCATGAAGACTTTTTCGGCTCTTGGTTATAAGATCAAAGTGGCCACTGATCAGACTGTAAAGCAAATGAAGAGTCTAATGTTGAGTGGTAATTAAGTTTTATTATTTTCGTTAGTGAGCCGATGTTATCAGCCTAACATGTGTTTGGAAAGTTGAGTGCCGTATAAATCTTGAGCCGATGTTATCAGCCTAACTATAACATGTGTTTGGAAAGTTGAGTGCCGTATAAATCCAGAAGCAAAAACTGCTTGTTTATTTAAAAAAAAATGTCTGTGCTTCTAAATAGGTAGGAATCAAGGCTGGTCAAGTCACTCTGTCTTGTTTCTTTGTGTCTGCGTCTGCAGTATCCCAAGAGGACCATAGCAGCTGTGCGTCATTTGTGTGTGTGTTGCTAAGTCATGGTGAAGAAGGTGTGATTTTTGGAACTGATGGATATGAGTTGCTTGAAAACCTGACCAAACCTTTTAAAGGACATCGTTGCAGCACTCTGGTGGGAAAACCAAAGCTCTTCTTTATCCAGGTTAGTAGATCTTCTGGGCTGTTACGCTGCCAACTTTTTTTTTCCAAAGTATTTTATATGTGTTGATGCAAATGTACGGAAATGTCCCAGGATTGGTTGTTTTTTTTTTCCTTTTGATTTTGTAATTTCAATCTTCTGCACTTTGAATATACCAAAAATATCATGTTGCCATTAAACTCCTCCTTTTGGTTTTATTGTAGCCATTTTTTTTTGCCAATTGACACACATGAAAACCTTTTTTAAAATTTTTTATTTCTGAATTGACTCAATTTGGATAAAGTGGTTTTCAGTCTAGACTCATCTCTTGACCATTTCAGTTGGGGGGGGAGGGGTTGCATGTTTTCTCCATATAATTTATCAATTTACGAACAAGGGAACAATTTCATGTAATATTCTGCAGAGGTGGGTGAACAACTTGCTGAGCAATGCATGCTCAGATAGGCACTGCCCAGTGCAATAAATAAGGGGTGTGACAACATAGGTGATAAAAGGTGCAAAGGGTGAAATCAAAGGCAGGCTAGTTGGAGGACATCCTCTAGTGCTTGGTTCTGCTACTTCTGACATTCTTAATTTCTGAAAAATGTGGTCTATGGCCTACTGCCCTCAAGTGGAGAAAATGAAAGAAGGCTGGTTTAATTTTATAGCCAGTGCATCCCCTCTACTGGCCATACAGAAGAATTACATTTTAAATTCATCAACCATCCATCCATCCATTTTCAAATCGCAGGCTTGTTGGAGCCTATTCCAGCTGTCTTCGGGCAGTAGGCGGGGGACACGCTGAACTGGTTGCCAGCCAATCGCAGGGCACTTGCAGACAAACAACCATTCGCTTTCACAATCACACTTGGGGACAATTTAGAGTTTTCCCATTAGCCTGCCATGCGTGTTGTTGGAATGTGGGAGGAAACCGGAGTACCTGGAGAAAACTCACGCAGGCCCGGGGAACACACAAACTCCACACAGGAAGACTGGAGCCGGAATCAAACCCTGCACCCCTTTACTGTGAGGCCGACGCTCTAATCAGTCGCCCACTGTGTCGTCTTTAAATTTATCAGCGCACACTTACTACTGGCCTGAGAAAGACTGTCCAATATAAGAAAAAAGGCGGAACTGAGAATATATTTAATTAATTATTAACGTTTGTTTTCCAAACCTCGTTTTGCAAACAAACTTCAATATGAAGGGTTAAAAATAAAAATTGATATTTTATACTAACAACAAGCGCAGGTGTTAGGTAACATGCAGTAAAAAAAGCAAAACAAAAAGAAAAAAAAATAAACAAGGCCTGACAAATTCATATCGTTGGATTTCAGGAATCTCTGCCCATTAAGTGAGAAATTAAACATGAAGGAAAACTTTTTCTGCCTATTTTGGAAAATATGTCTCTAAGCCGGGTGACATGGTGGATGACTGGTTAGCACATCAGCTTCACAGAGGTTCAGGGTTCCTCCTACATTCCAAAAACATGCATGGCAGGTTAATGGTACACTGTAACTTGTCCCTAGGCGTGATTGTGCGCACGAATGGTTGTTGGTCTATGCGTGCCCTGTGATTGGCTGGCAACCAGTTCATGGTGTTCCCCGCATACTTCCCGAAGATAGCTGGGATAGGCTCCGACACGCCCGTGACCGTGGTGAGGATAAGCGGATTAGAAAATGGATGGATGGATGGATGTCTGTGAGCCAGCCATCCTGAACTTCCGCCGAAGTCTAATTAACTAATTTACTATTGATATATTTAATTTGCTAGTGGTGACTTTGCTCAGGCTTCATTTGCAGTCCGAATGTGGATGGGTGAACATCTGCGCTGCAGGGAGAATCTCCAGAAGTAACACCACACATGTTGCTAGATTTTGTTGCTAATCATTTCTTTTGGGAAAAAAAAAACAAAAAATAGACGGGTAGATGGGTTGGAAAAGTCTCTAAATAGAGTGAAAAAGTTGCTAAGTTGGCAACGCTCAGTATAACAAAAGCTGTGTGCTGTACTTCTTTGTCAGAACCCCCCTCCCGCCAACAGTGTAATTAAAAAAAAAAAAAAAAAGTATACCCAAACTCATTATGGATGATTTAATTTTATCTGTATTCAAATTTGTATTCTATTTCAGGCATGCCGCGGCTCAGAACTGGATGAGGGAACCGAAATCCAAGCCGACAGCGTGGCGGAGCAAACGTCTGAGAGGATTCCCGTCGAGGCCGACTTCTTGTATGCCTATTCGACAGCCCCAGGTAACCTTCGTCGTGTTCCAAATATAATCAAAATAACATTTTGGCCAGGAATTTTATGAATAATGTTTGAGAAGACTTTGAGAAATGTGAATGTTGAATTTAGAGACACACAACTTGGAGGAAAGGAATAAGTACCATTCCTAACAATGAAAACTTTCCAACAGGCTATTACTCATGGAGGAACACGCAAAACGGTTCCTGGTTCATGCAGGCATTATGTGAGATGTTGCAACGTTTCAGAGGCGAGTTGGAACTGATGCAGATCATGACTCGGGTCAACTACAAGGTGGCAATGCACTTTGAATCCAGCTCCAATGTTCCTGGGTTTACCGGCAAGAAGCAGATTCCCTGCATTGTCTCAATGTTAACCAAAGACCTTTACTTCCCTCAATAAACGATGGCAGTTATTATTGTCTGAAACTACTGAGCAGTAGCAAAATAATTTCAGCTGAGAACCGGAGCCCAATCAGTGTGCTTCTGTATTTTCATTTTACACTACTCGTATTCATTGATAAAGTTTTTACCTATTTTTCTTTTTAGTCAACTGTCCATATAGCTTGATGTTAAACAAATTGCACTTCAAAGGGAAATAGTGATGTGTGAAAGCATAGTCATTTGTTTTTGTTTTTTTTCTTTTTGGGTCACTATCTGGTTTGAACATTTCACAACACAATTTAAAGCGCTTCCATTAGGATGCCAATACAGTAAGTCAATTTATATATTTTTTTAAGGGAGAGACAACAAAGTCAAGTTCTTTATAAATAATCTTGGGAAATTCCTTGTATCGAAGGAGACACCTGGCCGTTTTCACACATGAAAGTGTGGCATTGTCAATGAATACTGGGGGGAGGTATACACACACTTCATTCATTCATTCAGAGTGGGAAGTCTGCCTGTTGTCCACTAAAATGTTAACATTTATTTTTGATGTGAAATAAAATTATGGATACAGATTGACTGTTGTGTTTTTTTTTCTTTTTTTACATTTATTAATTGCCAATTTTTTTTTCTGCATGATTCGTTTTCATTTATCATGCTGTATTCCATTAAGCTACTGTAATTCATAAAAATGTACAACGGTAGGCCAAATCCTAGTTTTAAACCGTCAACTCAAAAAGAGGTTGGTACACAGACACACCGGTATGAAAGGATTAAGTAAAATTCCATTCTCATTAGTTTGAAGTTCATTTGGTGATCATTGTCGGTTTTTCCGTTTTTCATAAAAGGCTACCAACAATTTTGCGTGTGTGTGTGTGTGTGTGTGTGTGTGTGTGTGTGTGCGCGCAAAGAAGCGCAAACTGTTGGCTCGGTTTGTTCTGGGGCTGCTTTGCTAAATCCGGCACAAAGTGTCTTCCGTCTATCCAGGCTGCAATGACATTTTACGATTATTGACACCCTCTTGAGTGAATTGTGCTACCCAGTGTCAGAAAACTTTGACGCAGTTGCATGTGTATTCTGACAGGATGAAGACACAAACACACAGCTAACAAACAACATGCTGATCAGTCAAACACAGTGCCACCAAAAATAAAACAAAACCTGATTTTCATTGGTTAATATTCAATACAATGTCCAATAAATGTGTGTATGGCATCCATTGCCATTCATTCAACAGAATAAGTTATGGCTCCCTGAAAGTTTACCAGCTTTGTTGTTTCATTAAACATGAAAGGGCAAATGGCGGCCACATTGGGTTGGCCCCATTGATTAATCCCCCCGCCCCCCCGCCAAAAAAACCCGAAACAAAACATTTTTAAATAAAACTTAAAATATACATGTATATGCATTTTGAAAAATCAGTGAATATGTGGAATCGCGGGTATCAACAACGTGAGTAAGCCTAATATCTTTTTGGAAGATTCGGAATGATATGCAGAACAAACACAGTAAATCAATAATATCAAAATTTTGAGAGAGATGATTTTTGTGTTGCCTTGCAGTTACCTAATATTGGTTTGTTGCGCCATGAATGGCGGTATGCAAGAGATTCCTTTGCACTGAGAAAGAGAAAAAAATTGGTTCGTGGATCTTTTGCACATGCATTTACATTTTCATTTAGCATACGCAGAAGAGTATACAGTACTTGCATTATTACAAAAGGTTAAAGTATTTGCTGTCATTCCATAACATGGGGCCTAATCTATTGGTTGGAATGTGCTGGTGAATTGTCGCAATGAATGTAAAAGGGATGTTAGTCTTGCTTTCATTTCCTGCAACATTGATCCTGAAAGCAGAGTGCGGCTGCAGAGCGACTGCAACTGAGGAAGTGAAAATGAAATCCAGTACAAAGATCGTCTGTGCTCGTTCGACGGCGCATCTGGCAGGGGATTTTGCACTGTTTATAACTCATGATGACGCTTGAGCAGCTTTATTTTGAAACAGCTTAACTAGGTAGACGGCACAATACGTGTATTTGGAAAAATATTTGATGAAAACCGCTTGGTGTGCAACGTCAAAAAGGAGCACAGTGAGCCATCTGTTGCCGATAGATATTGGGGGCGACACACTTCCGCGTTGGCGAGTGGGTAGGTAGGAGGGGGGTTTCCAAGTGGAGCCCCCGCTATCCGAGCTAACCTTGTTTTGCTTTCGCTCTGGACCAGAAACAAAACCTATCGGCGCTCTCACTTTCCCTTTTCTACGAAAGCCCACAACCCAGTTGAAATTCCACCCCCCAGCAGTGGTGCATGTTATTCTGACAGAAGCGTCCCAAACTTGACAGGTAACACAATTTCCGCATATTAGCACCACCGCTGCCGCTGCTGTTGCTGCTGCCTGTTACTTGTGACAGACTTCTCCTGCGGGCTTGCCGTGACGGATCCTTGCTCGCCTTGTAAGCGAAAGTACTCGTTTTACCCTCGCTTTTGTTTACGTGTACTGGCTTTTATTTTCACTTTTGGCTCAGCTTGTTTTCTTCTGGCATTTGAGGAGTGACTGGTAGTGGTCATTGCTCTTGATATAGACTCCTATTTTATTTAGGCTTGTGAGTGTCGTTGTCGATTTCGTGAAATGTGAACTTTGCAAGTAGCTTTTTCCCATTTAAAACAAATGCACACCACTGTTTTGACACATCTTACGTAACTCGGGTGTGTTTGAGTTTACTGTGTTTCTGTGCAAAGGAACGGTATCTGTAGCCAAGTTAAATGGTTTTTGAAACTTCTGCGCTGGTGTATTTATTTAATCTGCACCACTTCTTTTGCAAGAAAAGTAAATGTCCCACATTGTGCAATATGCCAACTCGCCGTGGTTCAAATCAGCAAAGCGTTAGTTAATGGTTAAACCATTATTGTGCCGTTCTGAAGATCAGTACTTTTATAAATCTAGCTCTGTGATTTTGAAAAGATACAGTTAATATATGTACTGCAGCCATGATGATGGGGTTTCACCCTGTTTGACCTGTTCAGTTGGCATGCTGTACCACTCGCTGGGAGTGCCACTGGCTTATCTGGCCTGACGGACTGTGATCAGATCACGTTACACATAAATAACAACGTTGTTTTTAAATCAAATTCAGTGTGCACGGCGTTAAACTCCACAACTGTTTGTTATTTTCCAGTTGATTCATAATTATATTTTAATAACGACAAGCATTTGCATGCACGTGTCAAACTCAAGGCTTGTGGTCATCAAGTAATTTTTTGTGGCCCATTAAAGTCTCTTGCTATGTATTATTTATTTATTTATTTCATGCTGGTGTAATTTTTTTCTCCCCACCAAGTCACCATTTCAACAAAAAATGAACAACCATTCATCCATTATCCAAACCACTTATCCTCACTAGGGTCACAGATGTGCTGGAGCCAGGCGCCTTTGGGCAGTAGGGAGGGAACACGTGGTTGCCAGTCAATCACAGGCCACACATAGACAAACAACCATCCGCACTCACACTTAGGGACAATTTCGAGTGTTCCATTCACTTTCCATGCATGTTTTTGGAATGTGGGAGGGAACGTGAGTGCCCGGAGAAAACCCACGCAGGCACAGGGAGAACATGCAAACTCCACACAGGAAGGCTGGAGCCTGGAATCGCACCACAGACCTCTGCACTGTGAGGTGGCTGTGCTAACCAGACATGCTAACCAGTCCTCTGCCCTAAATTGATCGTTTTTATTTAGAATTGGCAGCTGTAAGGGGAATCAGAAAATAATCTTTTCAATATTAGTTCTGGGGTCAATAGTTGTTGTATTTTGATTTTTGGTAATTAATCCAAAAATCTCCATGATTTCACAGTGAAAATTGCTAACTTAACACATTTCCTGTTCCATTACATGGGCAAGACTCAAGCGTGGCCGGAAGCAGCTTCACCTCACCTCAGATTGCGCAATCCTTCACTTGAGGAGGTTTGTCACGGGCAAGTCCCTGTTTCTGTCTCTCTTCACATCTTCATTCTAATGTTGTCAGACACTTTTAATATGGACTCTCATATTCCATAGTCAGGCTGATGTGGTTATTATTTGTGTGTTATATATTTAGTTTTGCTCAGTGCTTTAAGTGCCAAGAAAAGATACAACAAAATCGAATAATAATAATCAATAATATGCATATTATGTATAAATGATGTATCCAACAACTGGTTCATGCATCTTTATTTTCTCATCACTAATTAGCATGTCTGCCTCACAGTTTTGAGGTTTGGCATTCAAATCTTGGTTCTGTGTGGCGTTTACATGATCTCCATATGCTTGTGTGGGTTTTGTCTGGTTACTCTGGCTTCCTCCCGCATGACCAAAACTTTCAAGTTTGGCTCATGGAAGACAAAAGTGCTCATAGGTGTGAGTGTGAGTGAATGGTTGCCTGTGTGCCCTACGATTGGCTGGCACCCAGTCCACAGTGTATGCCGCCTCTCGCCCAAATTGAGCTTGGATAAGCTCTGGCTCACCTGCAACCCCGATAAGGACGAGCTCGACTGAAAATACATAGAGGTCGAACTGTGTCCTTCATAAAACCTTGAACTGAACATTTGAACATTCTTCGTGTTTGTCATTGTCAACTACGCTTTGCACACAGATGCCCCAGAAACTGTACCTTCAATACATTTCAATGTGAATGTGTATACCTGTGTTCAGATCCCACAATGCCTGTAGATAGAATGAGGATGCGGCCATGGCTGGAGGAACAGATCAATTCCTGCCAGATACCAGGCCTCAAATGGGTTAACAAAGTAAGTACCTTCATTGGCACACATCCTCTAAGAGAAAGCACTTTCAAGAATTGGTTGACTGAAAGCTATTGAAGTGACAAATCACGATTGTACAGTTGGACTGAATGATTCGAGGAAAAGATTGAATTGTGACTTTTCTGAAAGGTGGTGCAATTTCGATTTCATTCATGATGTTCTTCAAATCAAGCTTCCGCGCAATCTTCACTCTGTACTGGGTGTAACATTTACAAACGTGGCAGAAAATGACATCACAGCATGAAAACATTAAAAGCTCGTACTCTAATAATGCAAGGAGACGAAAGAGGCCGTGTGAGGGAGGCGGTCCTTCACCAAGGTTTTAAAAATGGTTCAAGACATCAAGACATGCTGCTTGCTGTCATTCATGTATAAATATGCACCTTTGTGTAATAGTGTTCAATACCACTTTTTTCAGACTGATACAGATATGAGTATTTACTCTTGAGTACTTACCAATACCAAGTACCAATATCACTCGTACTTAGGATACATAACATTTCAATTAACACAATGACAGATAATTCTGAACAAAGATCTTTATTTCTGTCCGACACGCATGATGATTCACCGATGTGTGAAATGGCTACATTGTAGCACCAATTAATGGCGGGCAAAACTGACTTTTTTAACCAGCTCAGAGCTGATAGGTTAGCGTCCACGATTAGCTTGCCACTTCTGATTTGTGAGCTTGGGGTGGATCAGAGTGAGACAGCTTTGATGAACACGAAATCACGTCCCAAAATGATAACTCGTTCAGTTCTGTTGTCCATTGTACTTTGGGTAAATGTGCCAAAAAAAAAATCCTCAAACCTTTGGTGATGGTGATTAGTGATATTTATCTCTAGGAAAAAAGGATCTTCCAGATCCCTTGGATGCATGCTGCTCGCCACGGCTGGGACTTGGAGAAAGATGCTCCTCTCTTCATGAGATGGGCCATGCATACTGGTAATCACTCTAGCTTTTTCTTTTGTCGGTACTGAAAGTAAAACCTGGTACAAAACTACATTTATGTTAGTGTCATTTGACATATTTAGGGCTAAGCACCTTAATTAAATGATAAACAACATACATTTTTAAAATTCTTTTTAAAAAAAAAAGCTGAGCAGTAATGGGACATTGTGATTTCCTTGGCATATTGTCAAAGTGATCATTTGAAAATGCAAAGGGATGCAGATATCTATATCAATAAAAGGTTGCATATTGGAATGTATCTGTTTCCTGCTTTCTTAATTCATGGCTAATAATTATTGTGAGAAATCATGAACATGACCAGGGCCTTTATTTCCATGAATATCCATACATTCATTTTCTTTACCGCTTATCTTCGTTAGGGTTGTAGGCATGGCTGCCTAATAAAAGCTAATTTGAGCAAAAGTTTCAATCAAACTAGTAGCCCTTTGCGTTCATCCTGACTGAAGAAGTAGCTTTCTGGTTTCAAAAAGTTGATTGACCCCTGGTTTACAAACACAAATTTTAAGTGACAAAGGCTGGGTTCCTTTTTGAAAGCAGCTAAAACCATTTGCTGCAATGTTGAACTGATGCGTTCGATGAACAGGGACCAAACAGTATTCCAAACAGGAGTACTTTAATTATTTATAGTATTAAATGCGAGACAAATTACTATTGTTGCTCTTTTTTGAGGGGGGGGGGTGTCAAATGAAGCACTTTACATCCTAATTAAGTAATAGGGCCAAGTTTTTCTTCACAATACTCATTGGGGGTAGGGGTCTGAGGTGGGGGGTTGGGGGGATATTTTGGGGGTAATTATTCAGGGAGTAGCTGGAGTAAATAAAATGCTTATTTTGATAAATACATGATAAATTGTGACTATGTGACTTGATGCTATGCTCTCATCTGTGTACGTGCAGGTAAGTACCAGCCAGGAAAAGACCGTCCAGATCCAAAGACTTGGAAGGCAAATTTCCGCTGTGCCATGAACAGCCTGCCTGATATCGAGGAGGTGAAGGATAAAAGCAACAAAAAAGGAACGAATGCCTTCAGAGTCTATAAGATGCTGTCATCTTCGGAGAGAAGTATACGGAAAGGTCAGTGTTGCTGCTGGTCATCGAGGATTTGGCCTGTTTTTTAAAGTGTGAGCTCTTACTACTCAGTGGTTCAAAAAGGTTCAAACTGGATTTCTGTGCGATGTTAGAGGTTTACTTTTCTCAAATTCTGGTCTAATCCAGAATCAAAGTCTTATGGTGCATTTGACATTGGCATTTCACTGTAATTCATTTGCTTTACATGAAGGAAAGGATGTGGCTTTTCCTTGAATATCTGTTTTCCTCTGGATATGCATTTAGGGAAGAAGAGGAGCAACAAAGAGAGTGGGCCCAAAGGAATTAAAGAGGTAGCTAAAACACAAACATCAGGGTTTTTTCCTGGCTCAAATTGAGGCAGAGGTGGTACCATCCTGACCATGCGTCGAGACGTGAACGTATTCTATAAATTCAACGGACTCACTTTCTTTGACAGGAAACATACTTTAAGAGTTCCAATAAGAATATGACTGTTATCATGTTGAAGCATTTGTTTCTTAAAACTTGCCTGATAAAGGCCTCTTCTCAGTGTCCACAAACTCTTGGGTAAGGATTCATAAAGTGCACTCACAAGTCCCGCAAGGTGAAAAAGTGCAGTGGAAAGGGAAAAAAAAAAGTCAAGAGAGTAAACGCACAAGTGAGCACTGTAGTGTATGACTTGAAGCAAGCTAACAGGGCTAACGTCATCCGGCCATAAGTCAGAAGTGAGGCTCGTGTCCGTATTTCCTTCTGTCGGGGTATGCAGACGCATGACACCTCCTGTCTTAGAAGATAGTGGCGGCTCGGAAGTCTAAACTGTACGCGCCGAGTGGTTTAGTAGCCCGCGAAAGTCAAGTCGATGCTAAAAGGTTGGTCGCCAAGTGCCCACAACGTCATTGGTGAAATCAGATCGCATCATTTGAGCCATTGGCTCCTCTTTGGCAAAAGGTTTGCACTTTTACTTTTTGACAGCGCAGCCGTCTTCGTTAGCTTTCAGAACGCCGTCGTACCGTTGACTGTCCTTTTTTTTTTTTTTTTTTTTTTTTTTAATGTTATTAGATTTATTGACAAGACCTCGTCATTCTGACATTTATCGTGCATCCTGAGTTTGCGGTGTGTTTTGGGGCGGCACTTGAACCGATGCTTCAGGTCTTTCTTGTGCGGTGCTGTTGATATAGCGCCTCCATTGTGGCGGAGCGCTGCAACTGCAGTTAAAATACAAAGCTGCCGCAGAGGGACATCGATCCCACAATCAGCACAGAAGGAGCTTTCTGCTGGGTTGAGCGACATCAATCGGTCTGGTTGGGGGCGGCCGCCACACAATTTTGAATGCAGGAAAAACCCTGGACATGCAACACACAGCATTGTCAAGACAGCAGTGTATTTTTTTTTGCACACAACAACAAGATGCTGAAAATTAACTCACTGGCAAAACTACTTTTTTTTTTTTTTTTATTACATCCAAAACACACTCTATTACACTATAGTTTGCTGACCACAACTAATAGCACCGCTACAGAAGTGTCGCATGTATGTCCAGTCAGACTGTGCTAATCTGGAACTGTAATTGACACATGATGACCTGCTTGTTCAAATGGTCACTGTATCTTTTATCAGGTCACTGCTGTGGTAAGGTTGGCGTTTCACATTGTCTCAGTCAGTGTTCAGCGCTGTGATGTTCTTGCGTTTCGGTCATCCGTTGGGATGACGCCGACACAGTTGAATCGACTCTTAGCCATTTAAATACTGACTTCCTGTCTTTATCCCCCACCACTCACCCTACTCGCTCTCTCTCAGGGAGCGTCTCCGTCTTTTGACAGCGCCCCTCTTCTCTTTCATGTACAAGTTGACGACTTCAAACAAGAACGGCAGGATGAAGTTGAGATGCCCCACACAACCCAAGGTGCCTCGGCTTGTGTTAAGTTGTACTTTAAGTGCCGACATACCACATCTTGAATACTTGCACATTTGCAGAATATGTAGTTTTGCTTTCCAAGAAGAGTCACACTGATATCTTCTGTGTCCATGTGCAGATATTTCTGGTGAAGAAGAACATGTGATTTCAAACGACCTCTTACCATTTGTCTGCCAGACAATTGAAGTGAAAACAGAGAATGAAGAGGAGTCCGTGAGCTCCTCCCACTTGTACCCTTTTCAAATCTCTCCTGTGTCTTCATTTGGCGGTGAGTAGGCACACAGGCACGTCACATCTCTCCAAATTTGTGGGACACTTACAAGTAGATTTGTGATGTGGAATAAGGTTTCCGAAATCTGAACCGAAATTAAGCAACACATGCTACTACTCTGCTATAATGTTGTTCACCAACGTTCCTGATCTTCTCAACCGTAATAGCCGATGCTAGCGAGGCTAACTACTATTCTTATCCACAACCAGCTTATTTCCATACTCTCAGACCCACACAGATTTTTGAAGGCATGTTTCGCCTTGTTGGTCGGAGGGTTAAACTCGGGTGACGGCAGCAGACTGCCGAGTTGAAAGTTGTCTGTACATTGGCCGAGTGGTAGATGAGACGTCAAAACTGTGATCAGCGATTAGTCCACTTCAAACTTTCTATGTCAACGTGTTGTAGTGAAATCGACAAGGTGACTGATGGGTTCAACACCCAGTGAACGGTGCTTCACAAAATCCTGAAAAAGAAGCACAGTGAGAGAAATCAGCGATACTGTAGCTCACTGGTGTCAAACTCAAGACCTTGGGGCCAGATCTGGCCCACCACATCGTTTTATCTGGCCCTCGAAAGCAAACCAAATATGTCAACTTCCATGATGCTTGCTAAAAACATGCAACATTTCAAATTCTCATATGTCATGAATAACAGATATTGTAAGAATTTTCTTTTTACCAAACCTCTCATTAGACTCACTTAAAGAGCAGTTGAATAAACCATTATTTGTGACTTCTTGATATGGTTTGACAGATAGAACGGCCCTCCAAGGGAAACGGTGACTACAATGTGGCCTGTGACAAAAAAATGAGATTGACACCCGTGAATAATTGCCAAACACTGAGACATAATCAATTAGCAAATTGGCAGTGACTCTTGAGTGTACTGTTGATGCCACAGTGGCGTTTCTCGATTGTTCTTTTATTTATAAAGCATTAACAACATGTGCATGAGACGGATCGCGTGGTTCTCTTTAATGGTTTGTATTATTGTTTATGCGAACACAAGGGAAAAAAAAAAACATGGTCTATTGTCCATGATTATCAAGTTACATAATTCATTCTTTTTGTCAGCAGAGTCTCTATAGCATTCGTCTTATCTTATCTAAAGCTGGGAACAGAGTGCTCATGCTTGTGAAACAGACCATAACTGCTTAACAGCAGTTTTGTGTTCTCAGCTCGGAGCAATAAGCCAACTGTGAAATGAACTTATCATTGCGACAACCTCAACTATACAGTTTCTTGAAGCCCAACATACTATGTCATTTCTGAAGTGGATTACAGAATTGATTTTCTCTATTTTTGGTTGCAGTTCTCATCTGCTTGCTAATCTAACCAGTCATTCTAAGCACAGCCGAGTCGATCACTTTTCAGCTGTTATCAGTTCGTCCTTACTGCTTCTTTCAATGTTGTCTGATTGATGATTGATAGGGGGTGACGATACGGGGTTTGAATCTGTCCTTTTTGTCACTGTTTTGTTGTTTTGGAAAATCAGAGTTCCAGTTGTGTTTTCTTCATTCTGCGGTGCTTGGTTCAAAATGCGCCATTTACTGTGTGCAAATTTTAATTTGGTCTCTTTACAGGGAGTGACACAGACAGCGACATTGAGGACACCCAACAGGTGAGTCGACTGTTCTACACAAATGCAAACACACACACACACACACACACACACACACACACGCAGGCATGTATGCGCGCGCGCACAGACGCGCACCCACACATGCACACCCACGGGATGGCCTTGGCTACGAACTCTGAGTATCAAACATTAACAGGCTTGTTTTATAGTCCAATGTACCTGAATCGAATGGAACACACAGAGGTATGCACAAACAGATTAAATTGCCCTCAGGACCCCCATTTCTCCATAAATTGGATTTCTGTCCATTTGCAGTGCTGAAGTGATAATAACAGTAAACATGGAAAAAAGTAAGTACAGCTGTGACTGAGCGTGCCGTCTCAAGCTGTGTGACTCGTATGCCGCGCGCGATTTATAACCTTGAAATATCGTATCGTCGGGAATGTAGTAAAGCAAAAATACCCTAAACTAGGGATGGCTCGGGATGATTACCTGATCGGAAATCAGGACCAATCACGAGATTGTCAACTGACCGAGGTATCGAGTGAAAAAGATGGCTTTTATTCATTTTCGAACCATTTCAAGCTCAAAACCCCACAAAATGAATCCAAATGTACAAACATCTTGCCCAATAAAACATTGTGGCTTCTTTTTATACAACACAATGTTCTGATCTTTTTAAATAAATATTTTTATTATTATAATCGTTGGTATAGCGGAGCAGTCAGTGATGCCAACAGAGCCGCAGGCACACACACACAGACACATCTCCTCCCCTGCGCTCAGCTCCTCCCCAGGCAGCGGCAGAGTGGCGGTTTTGACTTTATAGATTGTTTGGTGGGAGGAAAGCTACTCCTAAACACGGCTGCCTTGCCTGATATAAAGAAGCCTCCTAGCTAAGTGTCATACTCGAAGAGTTGAGAGCACGGCAGACAGGTTTGTGACAGGTGTGACACGTCAAAATGACATAACTTCAAATAGAAGTCAAATTATTTGGTGACAAGCAAGCTTGTTTCCCACTGGTTGCATTCAAGCAAAGTCATAAATCGATAGTGTCGTTTCAAATGGGACAAGTCACGGACGTACCCAACAACTAGGTAGTCGCGGGAACTTCTAGTTTTAGAATCGGACTCGGGTGATTAAAAAGCGTGATGGGGACATCGCTACCTTGTATTTAAGAATTACAAAATAAAATACAAGTTTCAAACCATGCCATCATTGAACCGGACAATTAGACAGCACAATTTTATCCCAGTCTGTCAGCAAGTCAGAAATGCCCACCATGCATATGTATGTCTACTCACAGTACTTTCACCATCCTTGTCATTTTCGTCCTTTTGCTGTGACTCACAGGGTGTCAATCCAGCCTGGAGGCTGGATCATGGCAGGTCAGTTCTGAGGTTGTCTCCCTCTTCCCTACCTGGCATGGCCACCTTCGTTAGAGGGAGCAAGCCTTGCTGCAGAATCACCACCACGCGAGACCCCGACCCGCTCATCAGCTATCACCCCGACGGCTGGCCAACGCCCTACAGCCAGAACTCCCTCACGTCTTCCATACCCAGCCACACTCACGAGATGCGGGCCAGTGTAATTATGAAAACCTCAGATGTCACCTCCTCCTAACCTCAAGACGACAAGTTCCTACTTTTATTTAAGTCAGACATTACCAAGCAGCGATTGTTGGGCCATCATTGATTGGCGAGCACATTGCCGCGTTTCTGCATCTTTGCCACAAAGATGCCCTGTTTGAATTCGTCTTCTGCCATTCTCTGCAAATGCACTGCTGACATTCAAGACAATACACAGGCATTTTGGTTTACTTGGCATCATAACCATTGGAGCTGCGTGGACGCGCGTCTTTCATGTAGGGAGGTGGCTGGAAGTCAGTGTATTAATTACAGTTACAATAATTATGATCATAATTACCTTTTGAATGCATTATTTGCAAACATTTTGAATGTCATTCTTTACTACAGCCTTTTTGACACTTTGAGCTCGAGATCCAAATGAGAAAATATTTCTCGCGGCTCCTAAAAATCTGAATTTAATATTGATGCATTGACGATAAATAAAACAACAGATTAGAAGAAGACAACAGAACAACATATTCCAGCAAACATGAATCAAAAAGCATTTGCTGAAGTTGACAGTCTTTGTCTTACACACACAAAGGTAACCTCAAATCTTTTTTAGGTCCCTACCCTGAATTTGGGATTGGCTGTAGGATTGTGAAATCTCTGATTGGCAGCGACCTATGCGCTTACCAAAACATGACGCATCAAATTTAAATTCTGTGTGACTCAACCCATTGCTTCATGAACGTTGTTAGTCGGCGGTAGAATAATCGACTCTAAACAAGTGCGATTTAAAACAGCAGTTTGGTGGCAGTATGCAGCACGCATAGAACCAGTTTGACGAGCTTGTATTCATTCCTCCAGTTCATACCTGTCATAAGATATGCCTTCGTATAGCACAATTCATATCTTTTCAATACAGCAGTTCTGCCATGGCGACTCCCCACAGAAAGGTTTTAAAATTACCAAGCAAGCTGAATATGAATTGTAGCAATTATATATAAATATAAATAAAACTTACTTCATCGTGTAAATCCAATTTCATAGATATGCAAAGCACTGTGCTGTTCTTTTGATTGAAAGCACGTTAAGTTGTTTAATGACCACTGTGAACAGCAGCAAACTGCACGCAGAGCCTGTTCAAGCGTTCATGTGAACGCCTGTCTGTTGTTTTAGGATGCACTTGAAGTGTTTTGAAACCTCTCAATTTTACTTAATGTGAAGGAAAAAAAACCCTTTTGTTTTTATGAAGACACAACCAAAAACTCACTTTGTTCAAATGCTTTGTACTGCAAGTTTTAACTGCAATGTCATCAAAGTATTGCGTGGTTGTTCATAGTTGCTGTTGTGCAAAATATGCTAGAAAGAAATTAATTCAGGGAATATAATCTGTCACAACTTTTTGTATTGCTACCCAGATGCCGTGCAAAATTTGTTCCATGTATGTGGGCCTACTCGCACTTGGGAATCATACCATGCTTGCAATGTAGACGGTCTTTTACGTACGGATTTACTCATACAGGTGCACTCAAAGTTATTCAAACGCCGTTGCAAAAGGTTACAAACGTACAATAGTTTGTAAAGAACCAATGAAAAAAAACTTTTGATAGAGGAACACAACTAATATTACTAGCGAGCATGATGTGACTAATATAATTTTGTACAGCTCGAAAATACAGTTTTAACCGAGGAGTGAACTAAGGTAGTCTCATGGTCAGCATAGAACAGGATGTGAATTTGCCCTGAAGTGCAATGCAATGGCATCATTGCTGTTTGTTTGCATACTTTTGAGCCTCTGAGAGTAAATACTTTATAGTCACCGAGGGCCTGATTTACTCAACGTGGGTGTTTGCAAAATTAAGTGATTGTGCATACAAACAGATGTCCGATATACTGACCGGGCGCACCTAGGAGTGTGTCTACCAATTTTTTTTGCAATTTATTCCCCTTGTTTCAAAGGCAGATGTAAACTGGCATTGCTGTGTGTAGCAAAAGCCGCTTTTCCATTGTACTGGTTCCACAACGGAATGACCTCGCTTGGCCCAGGGTGGTTGCTTTTCAATCCCGCTCTTTTTTCGGGCCATGCGTTGACAATGAAAATGCGTTTCAGAAGTTTCTCTGAGGTGGTTAAAAAATGCAGTTGAGCAGGACCATAATGTCAGTTATCCGATTGGCCGACAGATGTGGGCCTTCTTAAGCATGCGGCTGGAAACTCGCCTGCACACAGCCATTTCCAGGTTTAAGCGAGCAAGACAGAGCTGCCTACACAGTATACATGCAGTATATACACCAGCACTCATATAATATGTTATACAACAATACCTAACCATATTTACAATTTCATATGTACCAATTGATGAAATGCGGTATAAGTTTTAGTGAGCCTTTGGGAGTTCGAAGCTGCAAATTGGAGTTTTGGCCATTCCCCGGCCTGATGGTGGTGGCCCCCCGCCTCGAAGCTGTCTGTCAGAGGGCTTCGGGTATTGCAGGGTGATGACCACGAGCCGCCACCGGTGAAAGCAACTCGAAGATGTGGCCATGTGAATGAGAGTCTGCTCTCATTCTCGTGAATGGACCCGGCAAGCGGCACTCACGCAAACATTTTTACCACAAGCTTCGCTATTTCATCCATTGGTACATATAAAGTTGTAGATATGGTTAGGTATTATAAAACATGTGTACTGCATATAATGTATATTTATGTTTCACCGGTGGGCGGCTCTCTCCAGCTTGAACCCGGAAATTGAATTTTTGTCTGCGTGAAAGCTTCTGTGCATTTGATTGGCTGTATTTGACGTCGCCACATCATGCCACGGCAATTCACATTTTTAATCGCCGCAAAACTAGGGGCCAAGACTCAATGGTGAAATGTTATGGCAGGACCCTGCATGAGTGTGCGCTGTGTAGTGAAGGCTTGCACAGTTCAGTTGATCACGCCCCATTTGATTGGCACCTGTTGTAATAGAAAAGTAACGGAGGCCAGGCCAAACGAGGCCGGTGCAGTGTGGTGTTTTGCCAATCTGGAACCTGTAATGGAAAAGTCGTGGAAAAACCGCAATTATTGTGGCGCAGAGGAGGCACGCTTAAATATGAGGCGATGGGAAGGATGAATCTTTTCCGCACGAGAAAGCATTTTATAAAAGCAAAAAACAAAAATGAACGAGACATACATTGGACTATAGTACCACCTCCAACTCTGCTTCCTGCTGTGCCATTGTCTTCAAGTCGTACACTTTATTTTTCAAAATTTTACCTTCATCCGAGCAAAGACCCTTCTATTACATAACATATCTGACCATGGTGAATACCAACAGCGCTACCTAAAGCGCAATTTTTAAAATAAATTTTATCGACAGAGGAAAGTACTGTAATAGCTCGCACATTTTGTTCTTTAATTGCACATTTTGTTCTTTAATTGCGTCAACGTATGCATCTGACAATCTCAGGACAATCCTCCCACACCCCAACGCACCCAATTGACAAACTCACTGATACGCTCACTTCTGGATCCTGTTGGCAAATGTGCATACAGTATCTCCTGTGCGCTTGCAATCTGCTTCAGCACTTTATATTCTGTTTTGTGTGTGTGTGTGTGTGTGTGTGTGTGTGTGTGTGTGTGTGTGTGTGTGTGTGTGTTTTTTTTTTGTGTCTCTCCGACCTTGTGTGGTGTGTGTGTGTGTGTGTGTGTGTGTGTGTGTGTGTATTCTTGATCTGTGCCTTCGACACTGTGTGTGGTGTCAAGCCATTTGTGCTTTAGCCTCCAATCAATGACACATCCAAGTTAGAGCGTTGCAGGAAAAAAAAAGATTGCAAATATTCCTCACCGAGTTACTCAGGTCCTAGTGTAATAAATCCTCAAATGGAGGATCCTCAGGGCTTTAACTGTTTAACCTTGCACCTTGATCAGTGAAGGTTTGTGTCGACCATTGAAATGACTTGAGAGTCTTGAGCCAGTGCTGCCTCCTTGAAGTTTAAAACCAGATGTATTTTGACTGTTGATAATTACTCAAGTCCATTAATTATTGTGAAACAATCACATGAAAAAAATCAGAGCGATTGGGTTGAGAGCAAGTGTGCTTTGCCTTTTTGAGCTTTGGAAAGTTGATGTCCATCTTCACCGCAAAGCACGGTCATGACTCCGGGCAGTTTGGTTGAATGCGAGAAGAGCTTTCATTGTGATACCATCCCGATACTTCTGAGAGCACGCTCTCTCATCATCCAGAACCACCAATGAGTCTGCTCCATTGGCACCTGCCCTCACCCATGCAATGCCCTCACGACATTCGCTTCAAGACACACTATTCTTTGGACCATGATGGCTTGTTTTCATTCTTCCTGCACGTGCCGTCAATCTGACAATAGAATTTCTTCTGCAAAGAAAGTATTCTGCCAACATCCACTTTTGTTATCCAATCATCAATCAAGTGTTTATACACTTGTTCTCGTTAGCGTGACATGGAATGTACACTGTTAAAAAAAAATAAAATCAATTTGGGCAAGTCACCAAAATATTCCAAGTTTTGTGTTTTCCCCAAACAATTCAGCAAATAGTTTTGGAGCAAACAACTCGCTTGCTTTGTTGTGCTAACGTTGTTGACCTAAACGCTCATACTTTATATTATAAATTTGGTCCAACATAAATAACTGCTTGCCCCCCTCAAAATGCTAATTGTGTTTTTTTACAGAGTATCCTAGCTTACTTTGGAAATAAGGTGGACTCAAACCTGTTTTCCTGCCTTCTGATGTACTGAAGCTTGGCATGACTAATATGTTGGATATATCTCAACCCAATTGAATATGATTTTACTCAGTGTAGAACAGAAAAAAAAGATAAAATCCACTTGTCAAAATACTTGTGCTCTCAACTGTATATTGAATTGAATTGAATTGAATACAACTTTATTGTATGAAACAGATGAGAAACATGCTCACGAAAAAGTTGTCATTCTGCTTTTTCATGACTACATTTCTGTACAGTATTTAGGCAAGCACATATGGCATTATTAAAAAGACACAACTTGCTAAAATTGTACACCAAATCACAAAGTGCAGATGGAATGTAAAGTTCAGACTACGACATTGTATGGTGAATGTTTAGTAATTGCCCATCGCTCATATCGGAAGCCTTTGCTTTGAATGCCAGCAGCAAAGAAGCTAAAACTTGGAAACCCCCTGAAGCATTGATGCAATTGGAAATCTGCTATATATATATATATTTTTAATCAAATTCAATTTGAAATGGTTTTAAGAGCTCTGATAGCCTTACCAAACGTGCCTTCTTATTTTGATTCCTTTGTCAAACATGTCAGCAAGTTTTCATCCTCTTCAGGTATTTATCTTACTCTGCTTTTACTCACCACTGGCATATGCGCAATAATTGTTGAACGGACCAAATTAAATCATTGTTGTTTATTCTACCAATTGTGCTTACCGTAAATGTGCTAAAGGCCTAGCATCCACTCACTTGCCAATCTGTCCAGTAGACCGAGGTTAAATGAAAGCAGTATAATTTATGAGCCCATAACACGTTTTGAATGCAGTGTCTTTGTTGAATTGAAAGTATTGATCTAATTTATGCATTTTGGAGTTCAACTTCTTCAGGGCTGTAGGTTGTGTTCTGTCTGTCACGCTTTATGTGAATTCGATTGCGTTTGTGATTTGCTTTGAAACTGGCAAGTAAGTTCACCGGTTGACCTTTAGAGTCAATCCCCGACTTCATTTGCCATCTTGCAGTGCTCTTAACCGCCTCTAAGGCAATATGCACAAAGAGTGAACTTCGGTTGTCTGCTGTAAAATGATTAGAACAAACCTGTGTCATGTACTCCATGAATACACAAATGAAACGCCAATGCATTTAAGTTATCCGTCTGTCTCACCCATAAAGAACAATTTTTATTTGAGAAGGAACAACTGGGCAGTGTGCCAATTATTGACACTGCAGGTGATATGGTGAATCGCTGTGTAAATCTGAATAAAGACTCTTGTTTTTTTTTTTTTTCCTGGTGCCTCATTTTTACAATGTTGAACAGATGCAGATTGCTTTGAGTTTGCGCCCATAAAGGTCAGAGTCCAGTTTTATATGGCTTTACTCGGAGAAATAACTTCTACCTGTGGTAAACTTAAAATAAATAAAACGATCGGCACGACTGTTGGAGTTGCATTGTGCATTGTGAGAAAAGATACACCCTGTGCCAAAGGTTTACAAGTTTGTACATGTCTGGCTTGTGCAAGACCGACAGTCCGTTGATGCACCAAAAAAGGTTTCCCCTCACAGAGGTTACTTTGCAAGTCTCTTTCAGTTTGACTAAAAACAAACAGTAACTGCTGTTTCAGTTTCAGTAACCGTTCTCATGTTTCGACTTCCCGTCTTTGAAGCCACTGGTTTGTTCGCTCTTAGAACTAGTTTATTGTGCAGACACAACTTCCTTGACATTTTCTTTTCCAAACACTCGATTTGGATCGCCGTTTCCTCCAAAACGTCCTACTTCACGTCTCCCACTTTCCCCTAATTCAAATGACACCGCGTCACCTCTCTTTCTGTACGTTTTTGAGGGGTGGACGACAACCTGTACAACAGGGGTGTCAAACTTATTTCACATTGTGGGCCACAAACGACCTCGGTAGATGTCCAGCGGGCCAGACCATTAAAATGATACCATACTCTGCTATAAATAACCAAAATAATATGTCTTTCCTTTGTTTTGGTCTAAAGAAGCAGATGAACATTAAGATTAACGTATCTGTTGCAAAACATTTAATGAAGCACCTTAGATTTCCTTAGACAAATGTGCAATTTACTTTTATCATTCACATATATGCATTGCAACTGATCCCACTGATTGTACAAAGGCACAAAACTTTAACAAGTAATTGGTATTGAAAAATAAAGTAATGCACTTTAAGAGTAACAAGATTTATAAAGAAAGGAATTTTTAAACTTACACATGTGCATTTGAAATCTCAATGTAATCCCTGCCTACACCTTACAAACTAAGGAGAGTGCTATTAAATGTGTAAAGAAGAAAGTATTCACGTCTTGTAAATGTGTAAACTTCATACATGAAACACAAATATATCGTTGGATAATACGGCGTTGATGCCTAATGCTATTTCGCTAGCAACTAGGTAGCTGGCTTTTACCGCTACTTCACTGACTTGTCAGCTCTGTATGAAAGTTGACTGCTCTTTTCCTCAGACGTGACTGCAATTCGTTGATCTTATCTCTTCTCAGTTGTCCTTGCAAGCCGTCATATTTTTCGGTGTGAAGACTCTCATCGTGGTGTCGAACATTATATTCCTTCCAAACTGAAACTTGTAGCAAACACACCAAGCACAAAGGTTTTCCATGCATTTCTATGAATAAATATGACGTGGTCCATTTTTCATTGAAAATTCTACACTCCCGATCTACTTTTCTCCGTTTGGATAATGACATTTTTGCTAATGAGGGTGTAGGAGAGGGGTACAGACGAGGGTAGAAACAACGTCGTAACAGATGGCGCATTGATACCATCTGTTGTGTTGGGTCTGTCTCAGTGACAGACTGAGACTGCTGTTGTCTTCTACTCTGATCAAAACAGTGTGGATAATCGATGAATTGCATCTCATTGAAAATATTCATTCCGTGTCTTTCATGCATTTTTTCCACTTTTACATTTATCCTGCGGTCCTGATCGAACCTCCTTGGGGGCCTGTTCTGGCCCGCGGGCCGTATGTTTGACACCACTGCTGCTACAACTTATCTTCCCAGTAGAATCAGGAAGCCAAATGTAATATACATCTTATGTAACAGAGGAAGACATGAGTCTCAATGTTGAGAAAGCTCACTGGAATGTAGAACGGCAACGAAGCCAGAACTATTGAGTCCAGTTGATGTAACAACAGATGCGATCAGAAGAGAATGTACTATCTCGTTTTATTTCATGTGTGTCTTTAGCCGTCAATGGACCCGTAATATTTTGTCAGAATGTATGTACAAATAAATACGCGCATATATGCGTATGTGCATTCATGCTTGCGTGTATGTGTGAATAATGTATATATGTAGAGACAATATGCATACTAAAAGTACATAAAAAAGAAAAAACAAATGTAATTATTACCATAGTGTACCATCCAGAATCTTTCTGTTGAGAAAGCCATTCCACTAGTCTTAGGAAATCAGCAAAACACATTACCCCCTCAATGATGATCACATTTTAAATCCATGTGATTTCTTGCAGCCCATGATAAGAAAACATTAGAATCAAATGCAATTACAGGTAAGGATGTTGTCATAATTTATTGATATCGAAAATATAATGATTAAAACATTGAATAAAGGAACGTAAAAAAAATGAGCCCTTTTATAGTGTGGTGAATGAAACTGTTTTTTGTGTTTTTTTATTTTGTAGTACCGTAACTGTCCAGCAGATAGCACCGTAGGTTTGCAAATCGTCTTATAAATTAACTGTTGTCTCATGCTGATGCAGATATTGCAGAATCTGTCCGAGCGTGTAGCTGGAATAAGCACCTGTGGGGCCCCCAACCCATATATATGTGGATATATATATAGGCTGTAACATATGTAGGCTATTGATGTAATTATATCTGTCTGTCTGTCCATCCATCCATCCATCTGGCCGTCCGTCCATACATTAAGTGTATGCATCTCTCCAATAAAAGACTATTCAGGACATATCTCAATAAATAGGGTGCGATATACGATTCAAGGACACTTTTTAAAGTGCAATGATTCGATTTAATTCCAATCAGTTGCATCCCGATTGGATTCGATATCAAGAGTTTCTTCATTTTGCAATATGAATTAATTTGTCAATTTGTCATACATCCAAGTATATATGTATCGATATGTCTATACACACACACACACACACACACACACACACACACACACACACACACACACATTCGAGGTTCATTCAATAAATAAGGTGAATTTTTCGGCATATGGACTTTTTTTTTAAACTTCTCCCAGCAACATGCCCATTCACACACTTTTCCCATCCATGCACAAGTTTCCATATTCCCTCAGCGTAAAAATCAGCCAGTTGCTCACAACAGTTTTGACTCTAATATTAATATAATATTGAATGATAAAACCTTATACTGTAATTAACATTCATCAACATTACCTTCTGAGAAAGGCGAAGAGGCTTGTGTTGATCGCTCTCACTTGATTCGTACAGGCCCTTTTGGTTCACTCGGTGACTTTTCTGCTGGAGGCGTTGACGGTGTCGCTGAGGTTTTTAATTGA